TTATTTATTTATAAAGCACATTTAATAACAGCAGAGAGTTGACCAAAGTGCTGTACAAAGTAATAATCAAACATGACAGTAACATCAACAACAGGTAAGAACATTAAAAGAAAATTAAGATCAAAGGAGTTAGTAACTCTCATGCAGTATCGAAAGCCAAAGTAAAACAATATGTTTTAAGATGGGTTTTAAAAAGAGTGAGTTTCTAATGTGGAGAAGTAGATCGTTCCACATCTTCGGCGCCACCACCACAAATGCCCGATCCGCCCTATGAACCATCCTAGACTCATGTACGGTGATAGCAGCCTGACCTGGCTCACACTCTGCAGTGCCTCCCTCTCTCTCTGTAGGTCTCTGTGTCTCTTGCCCTCTGCAGTGTGGCAGCAGTATGGTAATGAATGGCTCCAGCTCGCTCTGCAGTGGTAGCAGCTCGCTCGCTTCGTACTCATACCACTGCTGCGTGGACTGGGGGGGGCAGAGAAGGAGAAAGATGAGGTGATTCATAAAAGACTTGACTGTTATTTTATCTTTTCTGCTGTAAACAATAACGTCACTTTTCATTTGTGTGAGGCTGCAGACTGTCAGCAGAGACTGCAGGAACAGTGGTTTGTGCTGCGAAAGGCTCGTCATGAGGGGTTCTGTATGGAGCCTGTACACTCACACACATACATCAGCGTCCTCACACTGATCTGAGATCAGAAACAGATGGAAGGTTTGAATGCTTCAAAGCCTCGTTGTGATAAAACCGTCTGAGACAGAAATCTTAAAAAGAGACGATCCTGTAAATATTTAGATTGCTTTGGCTTAAAAATAATCAGATCTAAGTTATTACTGTACATATTTGTGAGGCGCCCACACGCGACGCTACATCTAAGGGTAGATTTTCCCCCCGAATCACTGACCTGCTTCATTTCAGTGAAGCTCCCACCTGCTGCTCTCTGTGCTGGGTCCTACATACCACAGTATGGAGAAAGACTGGAACATTAAGAGAAATCATCATCATGATTTCTATACATGTAGAAATTTTCTGGGATAGCAAACCAGAAAACCAGATTACAAGTACTTCATCCAACATGCAGACCAACTGCAGCGAACGCCAGCAGGGAGACGCGCTGACAGGTAACATTATGTAATGTCAGGGTCACCAGGACGCTGCACTGAGCACAATGTGTACATCAGCCTGGATTTACACTGTACATCCGGCACTGTGTCAGCGTGTGCTTGCAGGCAGCGTGGCATACATCAGGCCTGCAGCTACACAGCGTGACAGGGAGCGTGCAGCAGACCAGCAAAGTGTCACCCTGTCACAGCGAGTGGGATGAAATGTGAGAAATACGACGTCAGCTCGGTGAAGCGTTGACGCAGCAACTCGAGCTGAACTGCAGCGTGCAGCACTGGGCTCCTTGTGGAACTGTTTCTGGTGTCTGTGCAGCCATCTTCACTGTGCTGGGAGGCAAAGGTTACAGAGGTGAACCTCCATGATCACAGAGTTCATGTGCTAACACATGGAGAGAGCTCATAGTTTTCATTTTTAACAAAGGGAGAGTTTATAACCGCTGACTTCTCACACGTGTCCCAACCTTGAGTTGTATGCAAGACCTCGACAGGCTTGGATTGTTCCCTATTTACGGTTCTGTGCAAAAGTTTTCAGTCAGAGTCATGTCTTTATATTTTGATGGGAAATAGGTGCAGTGATTTTTTTAAACCTCTCAAAACCTTGGTGGAAGTGCAGCTAATTTGCCTCATTAGCAGAGTTTGTACAGTTATGACCTTTGGCCTTCAGCACAGCATGAAGTGACTGAGGCAGCTTTCTTGTCCTTTCTTTGAGTTGTCTTCAGGAACAGTTCTCCAGGCTTCTTGAAGGACTTTCATTGCTCGTCTTTGGATGTTTCGGACTTTTGTACCACTCTGTGTCAAGATGATCCCCACAGCTTCAGTGATGTGGAGGCTCTGTGGAGGCCGGTCCTTGACTGATAGCGTTCCCCTCTGTGGTTTTCTGTCCTGGAATGCTTTCACTGCACTGCCAGTGTGTTTGGGATCATTGTCATGCTGAAAAATGAAGCCAATCAGATGCTTTGTAGATGGTATTGCATCATGTACCGTGTTCATAATTCTAGCAATTTTGACAAGCTCTCCAACACCACTGGCTACAGTTCAGCCCAAACCATGACAGAGCCTCCACCGTGCTTTACAGATGTGTTATCTTTGTCATTTTTCATTGATTCAACTAAATAAATGGGAACAAACACTGTGCTTTTGCAACAGGCTGCTTTTGCCCAAATTTACTATTTTAAATGAATTCTTTGCTAAGTTGTCTGTTATGTGTAGAGTTTGGTGCTTTTTTATGTTTGAGTGATTTGACTTAGAAAAAAAATGAGTGAAAAAAAGGACATGACTACAAACTACGTGAAAAAGCAGATGCCCAAAAACACTTTGAAAAACCTTACAGAACTCTGGAGAACTATCAATATGATATAAAGAAATGAGGAGTGACTCGAGAATGCTGGACGGACTCAGGCTGGGGTAAAGCAGGATCTGCATCTTAGGAGATGGAATTTAGTGACGGCTTCACAAAACACCTCTAGACTGGGAAACGCAAAGAGTTAAAGAGTAAAAGCCACCTGAAAGAATTATTAAAATGATAGAAAACTGGTTAGACTGAGCAGAGTAGATCATTATCTCTCAAAGCAACTATGCCTCAATGATGCGCTACTTAAAAAATAACATATATATAAATAATTCGTGTATAATTTGTGCTAATACAATTTTAACACAGGAGCCTGTGGCTATGAGTCGATTCACTTTTGGAGCTCAGGCGGCCTTTAGAGGAACTGCACTTCACATTTTCATCAGTTTCCCAGCCCTGAAACTTGCTCGAGCAAAACCTGATGACATCCTGTACTTTGTACTAGAGCACGTGACACTTTATCATTGTTAGCCCCGGATCCCAGAAACCAATCACGGTTTAGATTGTTCATTAGCTGATTAGTAAATCATTTTTATAGTAGTTTGTGTTGTTTTTAAGCAAATCCCCAAATTTAGTAGCAGATTGTTACATTTGGAACTTTGGAAAGTAAAAAAATTCCTGCGTGATTTGAGCCGTGTTAGCCTGTGAGCTAAAACTAAAAACATCAAAATGTCTTTGCTATTTGTAACATGTTTGTCCTAGTTGTGTTTAATATTCAGAACTGATCAAAGCTTCTTGGTAATAAATTTAGAATGAGAGTGTTGTGGAAACGATGCCATACAGGGTAGTTAGCAGAAAAGATGTTCCAGGTATCTCAGAGAAGCCTTCTGTGGACGGAGGTTGTCTCAGTGTGTTTATGGGATGGATCACATAAACACTTTATGACTCTAGCTGTATGTTGGGGATGGTCTGCTTGCAGAATTAACTTAGCATCAGTTACATAGGTCACAAAAACTGCATTCAGAAGAGGAATGAATGGTGACCGTGTGAATGTGAAGCGACCTGGTTTAAACGCTCTTTCTAGATGAAGTTCACTTATTTTCCAGCTTTTTTTAGGCTCATGATTTGAGTTCAGATGGACCGTTTAAAAGTGTTGAGCTTGTATTTAAAGGTGAACTCTTCCCGCCAGCAAAATGTTTCTCCTCTTTCTCATCATCAGATGAGATGACCATCAGATGGTCAAAGGACAAGCTGCAACAGTCCAAAGACAGACTGTTGTCCCTTTAAGAAATATTTAACACAGAATTTCATAAAAATTGAAAGAAACACAATTCGTGTTGCTTAATGTTTCATATTTAATTCACTTTGCCTGTACAGGCTCTTTTAGCAGATCTGTGTTTAAAGGGCAGACTCATCCACAGTGTGTGGACATATGGTGTGTGGTCCCCAAATGCTTCCACACCTATTTTTCACATGGTCTAGTGTCATGATTATGCATTCAGTGTGGCTCTCTAGATTTCTCTGCTTGTAAAGAAGACAAACAAGAATGATATAATATTAAAATGTTTTGATAAACATAATTTTTAATTCACCCATATTTTTCCACATCTTAAGTCATAATAAAAAAAACTGAAAGCCTTTGTGTGGATGTACAGGACAAAAGGAACATTTGAAAGCAGGAAAAGAAAAATATGCCCCGTCATCTCTTTAACCACCCACACACCATAATACATCATAACCTGTAACACAAGGACATGCAGACTGTTAACTGACAGATTGCAAAGTTCAGCAAGCATTTAGAGGAAGTTCCTTGAGGTTCAGAGCTCGAGGTCCACAACGCATATCCTTGCACCGAGCACTAAACCTGCACCTGCTACTAATGGAAACATGAAGTAAACAGTCAAAATGTGGCAAGAAATTAGCAGCCAAGCGACAGTAACAGTTATCGAGCAGGAAAACGACTGGTCGTCCTCTTCCCCTCTGAATATAGAGCGGACTATCTTTATCTGTGCATCATCCTCCCTCTCCTGACTCACTGTACACTTTACATGTACTGCTTTGATGCTAACTGCTAGTGTTACGGGCCGAGACTGACTGTGTGCTAACCATAAGCTAATACAGTGTATCTTCTAACTGCTAAGCTAACACTTGTGATTGAATGTTAGTGCTGTATGCTGGTATGATTAGTTATAAAACTATACTAACTGCTGTATGCTGCCATTGATATTGTGTGCTAAGGCAATGCTAACATGTTAAGCTAAGAATGTTAGTTGTAAGTGTGTGCTAATGCTATGCCGCTGTTAATTATTGTGCGCTAAGCTAATGCTGATAGAGTTAAGTGTGCTTTTTGCTTCCATATTATTATCCTCACTAGTTTGCTAATGCTGCTATTAATACTTTGTGCTAAGCTAATGCTGATAGTGTGCTGTAATGCTGACTGTGCTAATGGTGTTTGTTTATCTGTGCCGTCTGTTGTTGTTGTTGTTGTTGTTGTCTACCTTTCTCTGTTTCTCTCTTGACTTTATTTTTCTCTCTTTTTTCTCCCTCTCCCCAACTCTCTATCTTTCTGCCTCTCTCTATCTCTTTCTGTCAGGTCTTATTCCTCCTCCACCACCTGTTCTACTACCACCACTTCTTGTCGTTCCTCCAACAACCCTACTAGCATCACCACTCCTTCCTCCACCTCCTCCTCCTCCTCCTCTCTCTACTCCTCCAGCCTACCTCCTAACAGCCACGCCACCTACCATCAGTACTGCTGTCCCGCGCGCCTCCGCCTGCCCAAGCCTCCCTGCGCCCTGCCCCCCGCCAAGCACCACGAGCAGGCAAGGTAAGGGCCAGAGTCCCCCCTCCTCAACACCCAGCCTCCCCACCCACTCTCTCTCAACTCTGCCTCCACCCACCACACTGCCCTGGTAGCTTCTTTACCCCCAACCCCAAGAGCTCATCCAGCAGCAGCGGTGAGGCCAGTGACCTGACGTGCACTCAGAGCGAATTTATACAGTTGTTTCTGCACTTCTACATCACCCCAGTCTGCACAGATGTTCCATCAAATCCATCATCCTTCCCCCTTATTTTGTGAGAGCGGAACAAGAATCGTAAGAAGCGAGTCTTTTCATAATCAAATGACATTTTTCAGACAGATTTGCCAGTTGCTCCCCAGTTTCCGTCTTTCAAATGTGCATTTGTAGCCTTTCTTATATTTATCTAATTACAGCCTGTATTCCTCTGGGATTGAAAGTGTTTGAAATTTCATCTTTGGCATTGTGATGTGAAACAAATAATCCGTTACTTGACACACTGAGCGGCAGATTGGTCGATAATAGAATAATCATTAGTTGCGGCTCTAACGGCTTTATTCGTAACAGAAAAATGCTAGATGGGATGCAAAAATCACATAGTTGTATGGAAATCATTTGTTTTTAATTAAGCACATTTTATAGCATGGTGTGATTTTCCACCTCTGTAAATTTTAGCGCACAGGAGGTGGGAATTTAGGAGCATTTTGATTGGCCCCCAGCCGACATGATGACGGCAGGAAAAAGATCCAGGGTCCATCCAACGTTATTGTTGTCTTCATAGTGCTGCTGACTGAAGGCACAGTATGGCTGCAGGCCGGCTCACTGCCTAAAGAACCAGAATAACGGACCTTGAATTATTTAGTTTTTTCAAATCTAAAGACTAAAGTTTGCCTGGATTACTTAAATTCGCTCTAAATGCATCGTGTTGTCACGTTCAGCCTCACCCGCTCCCTCGCCTCCCCTCACAGTACAACAGCCTCCCCCACTCACACAACCATTGCAGCACTGAAGGTGAAGCAGCCTCTCCAGCCGCTCCTGCCCTCTCATCCACCTTCTCCCCAAAACATCATCAGCCATCCCTCTCTTTTTCCTCGATCACCTTCATCAGCCCCCCACCTGCCTCCTCCTCCTGCTCGTGCTCCACCTCCTCCATGCTGCTCTGAAGCATCACATCTCAAAGCTGAGCACCATAAACAGACCAGTTTAAGAGCTAATGACTCACCAGCAGCAGAAAGGCTCTTTTTTACATTTTCACAAAGTTCACAGAGAATAACAAGTGAAATAAAAATGATAACATACAGGAGGTGAGTGTGTAGTAATATCAGAAAATCAAACAAACCAATTACACTCTGAAATAAGAAATATCTGATTTATAACATGACCGATCGCAGAAAGCATTTATACTCTTACATGTACAGTTTATGCAGAACATACAGCATAAATGACTTTGAACATCAGGCAGTAAAAGTATCTCTAATCTAAATTTCTAATGTTATAATTTCACATATTTCTCTCTGACACAGACCTTAGTGTCAATCAAGGAGGATTCAGTCTCACACGTAGACGTCAGCCTGAGGCAAACACATTCACACAGTGCACACAACACGCCAAGAGTACCAACAACCGTCTTTGTGGTGCTTCCTGCAACAGGACGAGTCTCAAGCAGATGAAGACAAACAACTGAGATATTTGTTAAAGCAGCAGCGTGCAAGTTATTCAGATCACATCCACGCACACTCAGTATCATTAAGACCCATTAATCCCCTTAGTTTAGGTACTTTATCTATACTAGATGCATGTCTGTACGTTAGGACGCAGTATGTGGGATTATTACTCTGAAGTAAATAATCTAAACACACACACACACTCAATACAAAAATGTGTCACAATGCTAAAATATCATTGATATTAAAACGCAAACACTCATTATTTCTACATCGGTATTTTTAATTTCCTGTTCTCCCCATGATTTAAACACACACGTGTCCTGCTAAGTATGTTGTCAGCATCAGCGCTGACATGTTGCAGTTAAACATCCAAGGTTTTGTGCTTTGTTTGTTTCGTGCCAGCTGCAGCTCCACATGCAGATGAATCCACTGCTGAAAACAGCAGCTTCAGTAATGTTTGACAAAGATTTTTAACTGCTAAAAGTAATAAATATTCAAATGTTCGTTTTGTCTTTAAATGCAGACATGATATCGCGTACTTTGCTCCACCCTAATAGGACCTCCAGCTGAGGCCGCAGATTATAATTAGCGCCTGTCAGATTCCCACCTGCAGCCATCATGCCCCTGCTGGCCATTACGGGGAATGCAAGTTGGATGTTAGCTTCTGTTTCTTTTATAGAGAGCTGATGGAAGAACGTCATTGGTGAATCTGGCAGTTTTTAAGAGCACACCTGAGAGTCAGCTCTGTCAGTGGTTTATGTTGTCCTAAGCACTCTGAGCTTTTAATCATCACAGTGAACAGAGGCTCGTGCTCAGCCATTGGTAAACAAACCAGTAATCACATAACTGTAATCATATGGGCTAATTACTACTCCCTAACCTGTGATTAAGAATGTCTCGTTTATCACTACTTTGATTAGTGTGCAGGGTGATAATTTAATGTCCGGTCCAGCAGAGTTTTAGCTCCCTGGACAGCTGAACGCTGGAGCTGAGAGGAAATCAGGCGGTTGATCTCCAGGTGGGAAACTTGGCGTTGTTTCCGAGATTTAAAAACACACCACTGAATGCTCCCACGAACTGAAATCTTATTATCTAAATAGACAAAACGAGATATTTAAATCCTGGGATGACGTTGCACAGACAGATGTGAAGTGGACGCACGTATCGGGTCGTCCACTGAAGCGGCAGAAACAGCTGGATGCAGATCCTGTCATTGTGATGTTTGAAAAGGAGGATGGTCTCTGAAACTCTCCTGATGGCCTCACGGCTCCTTCTCGCTGACTTAACAAAAATGGAAAACGCCGGGGAGTTTTAGTCTTAGGGGGACCCGAGTACAGCCAGACCCGACCCGAATAGACTCTGGGATAATTAGATCTGAGTCGAGTCATGGCCGACCCAGTTAACAGTCAGCTGTGGTGCAAAAGAGAAGCCGCGTAATAAATAAGAACGCTGTAATAGAATAGAGAGGATATTACAGAGCATGTCCACCGTCTTCTCTCCTATTGGATTAAAAAAACACCTGTATGATCAGATCGGTTTGATCAACGTGCCTCATCTGACCTCTGCTGTCAGGCTGTCGTGGTGCATCGTGTTTTTCTAAAAAGTCATTTTTTAATCCACGCAGACGGTGTTTCATTTTTTCATTTAGCATCTCAAAGGTTTCATTTATGTGGTAGAATTTCATGAGTTAAATCAGTGTGGGGTCTACGTGATCACAGTAGGCTGTTACTGTTGCCACGTAGACAGATGCTCGATGTTTTTAGCCTAAATCCATAAATTTAATTTATTTAAATGTAATTAAATTTGAGGTGGGTTCAAACAAAGGTGGTGGAAAAGAAAAAAAGCGCAATAAAATAAAAATATAACCTATAACTAAATATAATAAAAGTAATAAACATTTCTGCATTAGAAATGATTCAGCTGGTGTTTTTTTCTTTCTTGTGTACTAAATTATCCCAAAGTTTCGATTTTCTGTTTTAATCGTGTAAAATGTAAAAAACTTCAGTCGGCTCACGTCGCAGCATCATCGAGTGACATCATTTGTTTCATTTGCGTCCTGTGAGAGATGCCGACGGCGCAAAGTATTTACACACCTGCCGTAACCGATTTAACTGTAATAGTAAATTCCTGATTATCCTGTGAGCGGTGCTGGAACGCCGCCGGAAGGGTCGTCAGAGTCGGGTCTGAACAGGAAGGAGCGTGCAGGCGTCCTCGCATCAGCACAGAAAACTCCTCCCTTTGAGGTTTTATTGCCAGACTTCTGCTCAGTCTTTTTCTTCTTTGGTGGTTTAAGAGAATGAGAAATTAGCACCACCAGCTGTTTGTTCTGATCAATCATGTAACAATATTCATAATCAAAGAAATCTGAAATTCTTACTTTGTTGCTTTTATTGGTTTTAATTTGATAAATATTTGTGCCACACTTGAATTAAACGTAGCCAGAACGCACATTTACAGTCTCACATTAAAGATGCAGAGTGACTCTGTGAAGGCTGTGTGTGTGTGTGTGCGTGTGCGTGTGTGTGTGTGCGTGTGTGTGCGCGTGTGTGCGTGTGTGTGCGCGTGCGTGTGCGTGCGTGCGTGTGTGCGTGCGTGTGCGTGCGTGTGCGTGCGTGCGTGTGTGTGTGTGCGCGCGCGCGTGCGTGTGCGGTTGTGTGTGTGCATGTGTGTGCGTGCATGTGCGTGCGTGTGTGTGCGTGCGTGTGTGTGCGTGTGTGTGCGTGTGTGCGTGCGTGTGTGCGTGCGTGCGTGTCTGGTTTTTGGGAGCATGCGTCATCAGCAGGGAGGGAGGTTTTCACAGGATGTTATGCATAAACAGAGCGAGAGCTGAGGGATTCACCCGTTGACATACGTGAAGTCATGTGACCTCCGCATTCTCCAGCAACATCCCTGTAAACACGACCACGCTGTGCATGTTAGCAGTCAAGCTCCTCAGCACAGAGCGTTCTATGCAGGCGTAGCCGCACACAGATATACGGACACTTGCTTTCACACCCAACGACATGCATTATGCATAAGCTGCGCTCTGCAGCTGGCATTTAAGCAAACCTCAGAAAACAGGTATCGCTGGATGTGCCGTTCTAACAGAGTCTATAAGTCTTACTGGCTGACACTTAATTCACCTCATAATCGAGAACCCGCCTACTTCCTGTCACAAACCTGTTTTTTTTAAAAGCATCAGATTTGACTGTGAGGCCAGAATTAGCAACTTTGGGTTCTTCGCAAAAAACGTTTGAAAATCTTTTTTTTTTTTTTTACCTGTGATTTTAAATAAAATTCCATAAATTGCTGAGATTTTTTCCACCGAAACAAAACTGGAGTTGAGAGTAAATAACACCCAAAACGAATGAGTCATGAGGCGA